GCGTTGCCTATTGTCTACATTCAATCCATAAACACTCTTAACATTGGCAAAGCAAAGTTAACCACCTTGAAATTACAACAGAGTGGTAGCCACCTCTTCCTCTCTAATTGATCGAAAAGATATGACTCTTCTCACGCTGAAAAGCTCCAACATGCAAATTTTTTGCAATTGTCTCCCAGAATCACCATATGGTGCAAAGATTATATCAGTAGAATCATAAGACATGATATTTTTTGCCAGCATTTGAGGCCTTGATGGAAAGTTTATATCATGCGTTTTCATAACTTCTCTGGCATACTTCAGCGACGAAACAACCACCGTGTAAACTTCCCCGAGCTATAGGTGCATAAATGATCCATATTTCTTGGCCAAGTGTCTTAATTTGTGATGGGGTAGAGAGCCTCCCAGCTGGCACAAGTTTTCGATGAGAGGCCATCTTGAGGGCCTTGGAGGCAAATGCAAAATTTTGTCAACGGTTTTGGATCTCGTCCCTATTTTAAGGACCATTAATAGAAAGAGAAGAAAATAGGATTATTAAATCCCCCAACCATGAAGATCATGACAACTTTGATTAAAACAAAATATTAATATACACAAAATTGCATCCTCAAACACAAAGTTAAGATAAATAGGTATCACTAGAGACGTAACCATTTAAAGTTGTTTATTTCTTGTTGCGGTTGGTTTAGAGATCACAATTGTACCCAAATTTCCGAGTACCTAGCCCGGCCCGTACGAGCCGAGCATTAGCCGCTGTATGTGGGGATGGGCACAAGCCTGGGTATGGTTTTAGGGCCCGACCCTTAGACAACCATTGTCAGGCTCGACCCAGCTCGAGTTTTTTTCATTTAAAAAAATTAAAATTTTATTTTATTTGATTATGATTTTGAAATGAATTTATGATAACAATCAATTGTGATTTCAGTCAAACCCAAGATCCCTTGTCCACCATATTAATCTATACACATAAAAAGTATGGTGATTAAAGCAAGAGATACTATTAATTAAGTTAATATGAATGACAAAGAAAAGTATATCAAAGATTGTCCATGAGAAAATAAATTATAGAAATTAACATGGGCTAGGACTAGGAGTCACAAAAAGCCCATTGGGCCAAGCCTGGGCATTACCCGATATCCCTGCAACAGGCCCAAGCTAGGGTCATGGGGTCAGGCCTACGCTTAGGCCAAGGTGTACTCGGTCCCAGCCTGCCCAGCCCATTGCCATCTCTAAGTTGTTTGCTTATTTCTATAGGTCAATCTTATTCGCATTGTGTATTAATTTTATGAGATGCTTTATAGCGTGTCCACCAAAATCCAAAACAAAGAAGATAACAACATTTCAAGCAATTAACCATTTTGAGGTGGAGCGATAGAGACTATTAAGTGTATTACTTAACAGGTTTTGAGTTCGATTCTTCTCGATTACTAATAGGGGTGGTCACTAGAGAGTTTACTCGGTCGTTAATTTTAGGGTTTTGAGGATTAGTTGAGATACACCCAAACTAACCTAAGGACCCTAGTCACTATATATATATATATATATCAAGCAACAATCACATGCCATAAAATAGGATTATTAAATCTCCCAACCATGAAGATCATGACAACTTTGTTTAAAACAAAATATTAATATATTTGATAAAACTGTTAATTTTTTGTTGCGGTCGGTTGCTTATTTCTATAGGTCAATCTTATTTGCACTGTGTATTAATTTTATGAGATGCTTTACTGCTTGTCCAACAAGTGTTTGATAAAATTACTGGCTGCACACAAACGACCAGGGCAATTGTATCAAGTACCCAAAACTGTATTCTAGAATTTTGATGCTAAATTCTGTATTGGGCCTGCTCAATTCAACTGTAAAGTTCATTCTGTCATAAACAATCTGAACTTTACACTGAGATTTATTCAAAATTAGTCCCCTTCAGTGAAGATTGATTCACCACACATGTTGAAGAATAATGAACACATATCACAAGATGCTTAAAAATTTAAGAAACACTTGAATTAGGAGGGGATTCAAATTCTTTTATCTCTAAATTGGGACTAAGAAAGCAGACCTTTAAATTGATTATTGTGGGCAGGCCAAATACAGAATTTATAAAGAAAAACTCTCTGTATTGGACCATATTATGAGGAAGTTGAGATATTGAACATCAGAAGAAATATACAATTTCAACACCAAAGCAAAATGTAAATGCTCTGTTAGATCTTCACAATGTCACATTAGTTCCTCAGTCATACCAAGTCTAAACTTTACACTGAGATTTATGAATCCCCATCTTTTACCACTGTGAAATATTTATGAATAATAGATCAGTTTTTTTTTTTTTTTTTTTTTTTTTTTTTTTTTTTGGCTTATGAAGAAGGTGGAGGATGATAAGGAATGGGAATAATGCGCAGGTTGTCTTTTCTTGCAACTGTTATACCAAAGGCCTCGGTCATGTCGAAATCTTCTTCTTATCTCACTGGGAAGTTTCCAATCAAAATGGTAGAGAAACATCGCAAGAGGAAGCTCAACGTTAGCTAGACCAAATGACATTCCTGGGCACTCTTCTACCGGCACCAAATGGGATGTACTCAAAACTGGTCCGCTTGTGGTCAACCGAATGATTAAGGAACCTCTGGATTGAAGATCTCGGGTTCACTCCAATATTCTGGATCTCTTCCTATTGCCCATGCATTAACAATGACTTTTCTCACCTCAGCTTGTGCCTTCTCTAGCACTCTTGTATTTCTCATCATTTCGCACATTGCCCAATCTATTGTTGTAGCAGCTGTCGCACTACCAGCACCAAAAATGTCCTGAAAAGAGGATTTATGAACAGATCTCAGCTCAAGGACAAATTTTTACTTTTAAAATGTATCAATTTTACCGCTTAAAATCTACATATTCTCTTTGCTCCATTATTTTCCCAACTCTTAACTTTGGTCCCCTAAATACGATTTCCAGATTTCACCATCACCGCTGCTTTAAGCTATGAATTTAAGGCTAGTGGGTGCCGAGCAAAAATACGAAGCTGGCAAAGTGTCCTTTTGGGAGTGTTAGGCGTTTGGTATTGTGTGGCCTAATAATCTGATGATTGACCAGACCTTTTGTCTTTGTCAATGTCAGTATCAATTGGGCAGCCTAATCAAGTGAGCATATAGCTCAAGTAGTATGACCGTTGGTCAAATTGTGCTCACATGGAAAATATTGGCTTAAAAAGAAAACATCAAACAAAGTAAATGGAAAGAGAAACAAGATTAAGGAGTTTAAACTAATTGATTTGACTTAATTGAAGTTTTAGTTTCACTTACCGAGACCACTACTTTGATGTCGGCCATGGTTAAGGGAAATTCAAGGAGTAATGCTACAGTTACCGACTGGTGTGTACCGATTTTGTGTACCGAATGACGTGGCACAATCCTGACCGTTTATTTATTATCAGTTAATATTAATCAACGGCCAAGATTTTGCCACGTCATTCGGTGCACAAAATCGGTACACACCAGTCGGTAACTGTAACATTTTTCAAATTCAAGATCACAAAATGACGTAGTGGAGGAATTAGGAACTTCCGTGCTTTGACAACTTGAACTGGAAACAGATTTTAATTGGACAGAATTTTGTTCAAAACAGATGCATGAGGGTGACCCGACCGCTTATGCCAAATCATATGATCATGGCAATGTCTATTTACAGCAAGACAATGCAAATCAGGAGTGAAATGTTTGCAATCATCATGCAGAGCTGAAGTAGACAAAGACGCATCAGATTCATATTAGAGTTAAAAGAAGTTGTAGGAGACACTTTAATGATAGACTGATTAGACTGATTATTCGGTGAACAAGTTGTGAATGTAGAAGGGGTAGTGTTTGAAGAAAATTGATATGGCAAGATAGTCCTAGATATACAACCAGAATCAAACAAATTCTTTTCTGACTCAGAGTTTGCAGTAGCAATAAAAGTAGAAGAACTGATTCGGATTGAGCAGATGGAATGTTGAGTTGATACAACCTCCCCTCTGTCGTGGACTTGTCCTTTACAACACAACAATTAGAATCAAATTCCAGAGTCACATTGTTATCCTTTGTGAATTTAGAGATACTTAGTAGATTTTTTGTAATTTTGAGAATACAAAGAATATTTTTAAAATGCAAACACTTAGATGGTAAAGCACTTGGTAAAAGAAAATGATGGGCATGTGAAATAGCAAGATACTCATCATTACTAACTTGCAGTTTCTCTTTTTGCTCTTCTTCACCAGAATTCATGCTCATCACCCGCTTTTCTCCTTCCCAAACAAGCCTTTCCTACCAGGTCCGGTTACCTTCCGGTGAACTCCACCACTGGCTCAGCCATTTTCTACACCACCTATGAAGCACAAACACCCACTTCACCCCTCTCTCAAACCCCACTTCTCATTTGGCTCCAGGGCGGCCTGGGCAGCTCATCCATGATTGGTAACTTTCTTGAACTCGGCCCTTGGCGGGTCAACTTTTCTCACACGCAAAACGTCGAACACCTTGGCCTTGAACCCAATTCAGGCTCTTGGAACCGCATCTTTGGCCTTCTTTTTGTTGATAATCCCATTGGAACCGGATTTAGTTTTGCTGCAACTGAAGAAGAAATCCCAAGAGATCAATTTTCCGTTGCTAAGCATCTTTTCATAGCGATTTCTGGGTTTCTTGAATCTGATCCCTTGTTTAAAACTAGACCGGTTTATTTTACTGGGGAAAGTTATGCAGGAAAGTATGTTCCTGCAATTGGGTACTACACTTTGAAGAAGAATCTGAACTTGCCAGAGACAAAAAGAGTGAACTTGCAAGGAGTTGCAATTGGGAATGGATTAACAGACCCAGAAACCCAAATCACAACTCACGCTTTAAATGCTTATTTTTCAGGTTTGATCAATGAGAGGCAAAAGAGTGAAATTGAAAAGGCTCAATGGGAGGCAGTTAAGTTAGTTAAAATGGGGAATTGGAGTGAGGCAACAAATGCAAGAAATGGTATGATTACACTAAGCAGATTCCTTATCAAACAAGTTTGGTGACAACGCTTTTACAAATTGAAGAGGTGAAAAAGGCCTTGGGGGCCAAAGAAAGCATAGTTTTTGATGAATGTAGTGATGTTGTGGGGGATGTTTTGCATGAAGATGTGATGAAGAGTGTGAAATATATATATATCTAACTGTTATACTTTTTTTTGTTCTTATGAAGAAGGTAGAGGATGATAAGGAATGGGAATAATTTGCAGGTTTTCTTTTCTTCCAACTGTTAAACCAAAGGTCTCTGTCATGTCCAAATCGTCATTCTTCATCCCACTGGGAAGTTTCCAATCAAAATGGTACAGAAACATCGCGAGAGGAAGTTCAACATTAGCTAAACCAAATGACATTCCTGGGCATATTCTCCGACCGGCACCAAATGGAATGTACTCAAAACTGGTCCCCTTGTAGTCCACAGAATGGTTAAGGAACCTCTCTGGATTGAAGATCTCTGGTTCACTCCAATATTCTGGATCTCTTCCTATCGCCCATGCGTTAACAATGACTCTAGTTTTGATGGGTATGTCGAATCCATTAATCATACATTTCTCTCTACATTCTCTTGGAATTAACAAAGGCCCCGGAGGATGTAGTCTCAAAGTCTCTTTTACTACTAGCTGCAAGAATTTCATTTCGGCGATGCTTGTTTCATCGATCTTGCCTTTTCTATTGAAGACTTCCCTCACCTCAGCTTGTGCCTTCTCCAGCACTCTTGTATTTTTCATCATTTCACACATTGCCCAATCTATAGTAGTAGCAGCTGTCTCTCCACCAGCACCAAAAATGTCCTGAAAAGAGGATTTATGAAAAGATCTCAGCTCAAGGACAAATTTCTGTTTACTCAACATATGCTTTCACATCTTAGTGTTAAATATAACTCTTTCTCAAATCAGGAAATTTAAACCAAAAAGAAAAAAAATATATATCTATCAGCACACAGTGTGACATTGGCCGTGGACAGGTCTAGACCTCTCGTGATATGTCAAGAGTCTTCTAACATCACAACCGTAGATCTAAATGATTCTACATGTAAAGCCAATGGGTGAGGTGCAAATACAAAGTGGCAAGTTTCCCAAGTCTTTGGTGGTTGGTATTGAGTGGCCTACAAATCTAATTAGAGACAAATTATTATGGTTGAGTACCAGTTTTTTGGTCTTTGTCAATGTCTGAATTAAGTTTAGTTATACTACGCAGTAACTAATATGCAAGAAGTACTTACCGAGACCACTGCTTTAATGTTGTCCATAGTTAAGGGAAATTCAAGATCACCATGCTGTTGAACTTTCAAGAGGACATCAACCAGATCTTCAGTTTCCCCACTCTTGTCGATGTTTAACGTTTGCCGTCTCTTCTTGTGGTCATTTATAATTTTTTCAACTATTCTATCAGCTTCTTGATGCAGCTTCTCTACCTGAGACTTGATTCCAGTGATCCATTGGAGAAAATTAATGGAAGGAAATAGATCTGAAATATTAAAACCTGCCGACACTTTTACAAATTCTTCCATCACTGATATAAATAATTCCTGATCTTCGGATTTGCTGCCAAAGGCTGCCCTGGAAGTGATACTATAAATCAGTGAGATAATTTTCTCTGTAAGGTCGATTGGTGATCCCGCTTTTGAAGCAATCCAATCAATGAGACAGGCCACCTCTTCCTCTCTAATTGATCGGAAAGACAGGACTCTTTTCGCGCTGAAAAGCTCCAACATGCAAATTTTTCGCAATTGTCTCCAAGAATCACCATATGGTGCAAAGATTATATCAGTAGAATCATAAGACATGATATTTGCTGCCAGCATTTGAGGCCTTGATGCAAAGTTTATATCATGGGTTTTCATAACTTCTCTGGCATACTCCGGCGATGAAACAACCACCGTGGAAACTTCCCCGAGCTGTAGGTGCATAAATGGTCCATATTTCTTGGCCAAGTCTCTTAATCTGTGATGGGGTAGAGAGCCTCCGAGCTGGTGCAAGTTTCCGATGAGAGGTAATCTTGAGGGCCCTGGAGGCAAATGCAAAGTTTTGTCAACGGTTTTGTATCTCGTCCCTATTTTCAGAACCATTAAGAGAAAGAGAAGAGAGGTGAGAAGGATTGAGAAGGTGGGAAATATCAAATCCATGAGAGAAAAGAAGAATGAGAGGATGGGGATTAATGCGCCTTGTTGACCCTTTTTAAATTCATTTTATACTCCAAGGATGATATTAATTTCAATAATTCACATCCATATAATTTTTGATTTCATTACATTTCAAGATAATTCGAAAACATAGCATTATCTACGGCTTCACTGTATCTTCATCATGCCATTTGTCCGAATGTCCACGTATCTGTTCCCAAGCATAAAAAAATATGAAACAAATATGATGGGATATAGTATTTGGGATACAACTTTTCACATATGTGTTTGTTTTATTACTTAAAAAGCTGCATTCAATAAATACTACTCCTGCCATATTTGACATCCTTTATTCCTTTCTTCTTCAATCTTATGTTGGTGGGGTTTACATCCTTTATTCCTTTCTTCTTCTCCTCTTTATTTCTTCAGTCTCTCTCTCCCTTAACCACCGTGATAAGTCTCTCTTCCACCTGCCATCTGCCCTTCTTTCTTCTTTATTTCTTCAGTCCCTCTTCTTCCAAACACCAACCACCGCTGCAACTTCTGATCTGAACTATTCCGGCGCACAACTCCCTCCTTCTTTCACATATAGACAACATAAAGACCTTACGTATAATATAACGACTGAATTGTAGAAAGCATATATAATTAGGTCGTAGTTGTTAATGAAGTATATGTATTCAAAATATTTTAAGGATTTATAGTTAGTAGTTTCTTTATATATGTATTAATGTGGTATTTTTAAATAGTTAAATTAATACTTAAAATTAATATGAGTTTTTTTTAATATTTAGTGATTATAAAATTATCAATCAAATGTTTAATATTATTAAAATGTGAATTGTTAAATTTTTAGGTTATAATAATAAATTGTTTCAACAAAATGTATCATAATATTATATTAATAAATTATTTATAAAAAATACATCAAACAAATATTTAATAATTTATTCATTATAAATAATAAGGTTAAAACACTCTAACAAACATTTTATTATTTAAATCTTATTCTCGTAATAATAATCTAATTTAAATTCTTAATATTATTTCAAAAATTTTATTTAAAATAACAAAACAAACTAACCATTAATTTCAATAATTTACATCCATTTAATTTTGTAATTTCATTACATTTCAAGATAATTAAAAATATGAAACAAATCAGAGGCCATGTTCTCACTATCAACAGCTCCAATCAGAAAGGTTGGAAATTATATAAGAAGATGTACAAGTCAACAGACACTGGCGTGCACGGCACTCAATCAGCTCCGTATATTCTCAAAATTAGAACCCAACAAATATTATATTGTATAATATAATATTTTTATGTAACGCTGCTACTCTCTATTTTTCAAACAAAAAAATCTGCAGACATTGACTGTGTAAAAGGTATTAGCCGAGCCGAGCCGGTCGTACTCGACTCAAAACAGATTGACTCGGCTTTCAGTTTTTTCAGGCCAAGCCGTTCGGAAAAAAGGTCAGGATCCAATACGAGTAATATCAACTTTTTCTCGTAAATTTTTTTTATAATTATGATATGACACTTCATAGTTAATTAATTATAATTTATAAGATAAGTCTTATCACAAACTGATCAATTCTGAATTATCATATCTCATAAATTTTTTTTTATAATTTTAATATGATAGTTTATGATTAATCAATTATAATTTATTAAGTAAATCCTATTACAAACCCATATGAAATACCATATTAGTTATAAGAGAAAATTTAAGAAAAAAATTATGCAATCATTTTAAAAAATAATAAACACACCCTACAAAAAAAAAAAAGCAAATAAAGAACCATTTTGATGGGCTGGAAAAATTGTGGCAACACAGGAGTAAATGAGTGAGTATAAAACATTAAATGAAACATAAATAAAAAAATATTTTATCCCTTATCTCTTCTCTCTCTTTCCCGCCGCCCTCCCCCCCCCCCCCCCCCCCCCCCCCCCCCTCTCTCTCTCTCTCTCTCTCTCTCTCTCTCTCTCTCGTCCCACCTCTTCATCTTTTATTTTTTCATATTTCTCCAGATTTCCTCCTCCTTCCATTCTCTTCCCTTTTTTCCTCTTCCTTTCTTGCTTTTTTTTTTTTTTTCCCTCCCCTCATTCTTTCTTCTCTCTTTCATTCTTTTTCTTGGTTTACCATGGATGATTAAGGCCATGGTTCACCCTTTTATTAAAATGCTTTACAAGCCCCATTAATAGTAGGGTAGCAACAAGTGAAAGCAGATACTCGAGCAGCTGTCGAGCTTCAGTAGGCTCGAGCTCAAGCTCGAGTATTCATTTTGGCTGTCGAGTTTGAGCTCTAGCTCGAACTCGCTACTGTAGCTCATGAGCCTAGCTCGAGCCGATAAATACTTAACTCAGCTTGGCTCATATACAACCCCGGAACCTTGTACATGTAGAATTTTGTTGATATGTCAACGGTTCTTGTTAGGGCAAAAAATCGTCTTTGGCCCAAATAGGGAAACATGACCACTAGTGAAGAAAAGACCAGACCTAGTCCTAAAAAGGCCCAAGCCAGATTAGTCCCATTTGATACGAGATACGGCCGATCCAAACCATCTGGGCATGGGCCCTCCAATTCCAACTCACCTCCTGGGCCAATAGACAAGTTCAAGGCCCACAGCCCCCCATTGATCATTTTCCTGTTCCTGTTCAATCTCCTATTCGAAGTCACTTTCCTGTTCCTGATCACTTTCCTACTCGAAGTTACTTTCCTGATCAGAATCACTTTCCTAACCGAACACTAGAAAGACAGCTTAATACGGCCCAAATTCTTCTAGGGTTTGCATCAGAGTCACATTAGGATTCCTACTCCTACCAAGATTGGGAGACTAGACAGTCACTATATAAACAGAGGCCAGTCCTCTCACAAAGGAGACTACATTACACCTTCACACCTGAAGCTCCTACTTGAGAGCTTCATTTCACCGCCGTAGTCACAGTCCCCGACTAGACTTCTGGTAACCTCTTGCTCCCTAGCCCCCACTATATTAGCCTTTCAGCCTTGCTGACTTGAGCATCGGAGTGCCTACGGCAAACACCACCCCGGTGTTTCCCGTTCGCTTCACACGTGTGTTTTTCTACGTGTGCAGGTACAGTAGATCTCTAGTGGCATCATCCTCACGAGATCAGACCCCCCTTCTGTACAGATATATTTTTACGTCTACAGTTTGGCGCCCACCGTGGGGCCTCTAGCAATCATTCGGCTCGACGAACCTTGCTACGTGGAAGAACATTCCATGGCTGATAACTTCGATCACTCTAATCCCAGCCTCGAGGCCAAACTGGAAGCTCTAACCGCTCTCATGCAACAGAACTTGGACAAGGTGGCTGCATTGGAAGCTGAGGACAATACGATCCGGACAGAAAACGCGTCCATTAGGTCAGAAAACCATTCCCTCAAGGAGAAGGTGAGTCAATTCCATGACCTAGAGTTCCTTCCCGACCCAGTACCCCCCAATCGGTTCCGCGCCCCTATCCCATCCATGCAACCACTCTTCACACCAGAGCATCAGCCCTCGGCCTCCAGTAAAGGGCCGCGTCCGTTAAGAGCATTGGCGCTTGACGACTCCGTTTTGACTAACGGAGACAAAGATATGCCAACAGAACACCATCCGGCCGACCCATCCCAGCCTCGTGACCAAGATAATCCAATAACAGAAAGCCCACATCCACAAGACCAGCCCATCCTCACCGTCCCGCTCCACCTCCAGTCTACAACCCATACACAAACCCCATTCGGCTCGGCTCACCCTCGCGAGTTGAATGGCCAAACCAAACCAACTCCAGCACTCGAGCTCATCCATTCTGACAGACCGAGCGACTACCAATCGACTCCACTGACCATTCATGTAGGGCGGAACAATAGAACAGTGACAATTAGAGTCACCCAACCGGAAGGGATGAACGAAGATCCATACTACCAAGGAATGCATGACAGAATGGTCTATCAGACTTCCCCCCGAGGGATGACCCAACGGAATACGCCGAGAAAGAATTCAGTAGCAGACCTAGTAAGACAGGATGACCCGGTAGTATCCTCCTCTCCTATAGAACAAGTACTGGCCAAGAGACTGGCCGACGTCGAGGCAGTGATGAGACGCATTCCAGGAATGCCGGTCCCAACCAAGAAGAGCAGGCCCCATTATTACGCGGATTCACTCTTCGTGGACGAGATCGCCCTAACCGACTTGCCACAGAAGTTCACTATCCCCAACATGAAAATGTACGACGGCACAACCGATCCGGATGATCACATAGCCTCGTACAAGCAACGGATGTTCACCGTCTCAATACCCCGACCGCTTAGGGGAGCCTGCATGTGCAAAAGTTTCGGTTCGAGCTTATCCGGCCCAGCACTACAATGGTACACGAACCTCCCGAATGGATCCATTGATTCGTTCGCTCAACTCACCGACACGTTTGTGGAACAGTTCGCCAGCAGCAAGAAACTCGAGAAACTGTCAGCCAACTTGTACAAAGTATACCAGAGAAGGGGCAAACCATTGAGAGAATATGTCAGCAGGTTTAACAGAGAGAAGATTTCCATCCCAGCATGCAACCTTGAGACAGCCGTAGATGCCTTCAGAAAGGGTCTCCTCCCGGACGGAGAGCTATACAAAGAACTTACAAAGCTTGGACGCACAACAATGGAAGACGCCCTGGCCCGGGCAGTGATCCAAATCAGGTGGGAGGAGGATGAGATAAACCAAACGATTCACTCCAGATATGAACCAAGGTAGAGCGACAGGAGGCCAGAGCCTGGACCGGTAAAGCACCGCTACCACCCCCCAGTACGCAATATGGGTAGAGTCAGGAAGCCTTATGATCGCCAACCCTCAAGAAATGATAACAGGCAGTTCGGGTCGAACCGACCTAGAATACCGGAGTACAACCTCAACGTCGAACCGACCCAGGTCATAGCAATAATGAAAGGATTAGGATCCACCGTCAAGTGGCCTGGCAAGCTCCATCCCGAGGCAAGGAGAGACATAACCAAGTGGTGCGAGTTCCACAACGATCATGGGCACAACACCGCAG